CTTCTCTAGTTTTCTAAGACTAGTCAGTAGGAAAGTCCTATGGCTAGACCTAGGCTACTAAAGAAATTTCTAGACCTCAACCAAAAGTGAGGTCAACATCCATCTTATGAAAATTTGATCGGGAACCTCACAGTAAATTTCCTCATTCTCATTTTCATTATTTTTTGTTTTCAAGGGAAGGTTGGGGCTTTAAAATTTTTGGGGCCCGTAGTGTCACCAAATTATTGTGATTATTACTAAGATTTTTTTTTAACCATATTTAATGCTTGTTTCTACTGTATTGGAATTGAGTATGCATTTTCTTGCCCATGAGTTTGGTTTTGCCACCGGAAACTATTTGATATTTTATTTTACAACTTTTTTTTTTGTCTTTTTTTGCTTTATTGCTCTTAAAGTCATTACTATAGCAAACAAACCATGGACACATTGCTCAAATGCATTTTCACTATTATCATTAGACTAGTAAGAACTATTTAGGATTGGTTATTTATTATTATTATTATTTTTGTATGTCATGATGAGTGATGCTATGGGTGTTTGTGGTAGACCTATTTTTTGCTTATCTTTTTTTAAAAAATTTTATTCTTATTTCATGACATCTGATCCTTCAATCTTAATTGTGTTAGGTGCATTTTCTACTTTATAATCTATCCTTCATTGGATATTTTCAATCCACCTAATCTATTGTCAACTATCTTCTCTTTAGTAAATACTGCTTCGGTTGCCTTTTTTATTGTAATCATTCATCAATTTATGCCTCTTAGCTTTACTACCATCTATTTTAACATTTTCATTTTCACCATGCTCATTTTAGCCATCTGTATCTTTTAATACCTAATATCCAAATCTATATAACATTTTTGGTCGGATTATAGTTCTATAAAATTTTCTTTTTAGTCTATTATATCCTTTTCTTGCTTAATACTTCTGAAACATTTTTTTCATTTTGCACTCATTTTTATTATAGAGGTTATTCCCTCTTTTAATTATCACTCTGTTGTATAATAGGTCCAAGATAGTTAGTCCTCTAACCTCTAATTATTATTTTATCTTCTAATAATTTTTTTATAATTGTTGATATCACACTCATTAATATTACAAATTATTTACTCATCATTTTTTCTATTAATTCTATGTCTTTTCTCCCCTTAATACTTTCTCTGTTATTCTTTAACATGTTTTAGACGCGAGACATCATTTATTAGAATGTATACATATATTTATATATAAACATATATCAATTATCTTAGTTTGAGTTTTTTTGTAAGCATCTTTATAGCCAAAATAAAAGTATATAAACTCAAATTTTATCTTTGATGTAATATTATTTTTATTATTTTGATTGAAAACTCTTTTGCTCTCTTCACAATTTTGTTTAACACTACTTTGTACTCCATTTGCATATTTGTAGTACACATTTTTTTATATGTTGAATTAATTAAAAAATAATATTGAAATTCTTTTTTTATTCTCTATGGTTCATTCCTTTTTTGTCCATGAATCATACCCAAGGAATGGATCATGAGAAATGAGAGAAAGAGAGACACAGAGAGAGGCAGAGAGATAGAGAGAGAGGAAATTGTTGCATTAGCTATTCTAATAGCTGTCCCACAGAAAAGGTAGAAACCTCCTCTTATATAGGGCTAATTTTTCAATATAACTTGTGTAAGTTATAATTACATATAGATATCTTGGGATTTATGACTACTTGAATCTGTCCTTTATTGTCTCGAGTGTATAAATTATATTATCTTCGATGTCTTTTCTTCTATTGACGCCGTCTTCTGCCGCTCTTAGCCTTTTTCTCTGTACTTAGTTGTCACATCTGTTGTCTAGTTGGTTTGTTTAGCCATGGATGGGTTCTTTGAAATAACCTTTTTGGGGAAGATTGTTCTAGAAGAATATTCTTGTGAGAGATGTTTTTCTGGACGAATGCAAATACTCGAATTCAAGGGGACAAATGCAAGGGGTTAGAATGTAGATGGTCGAATGCATGTTTCTGATTCTTGGGATTTTGGTCATATTTGGTTTTCCTATTTGTTTCTCTTTGAAAAAACAACTCCAAAGAATAAGAAAATGGTAAACTTGGAAATTATGCATTGCTTGTCTTTATAAGACAAACGTGTATTCTTTGGTCTAAAGAATAAATATAGTTGATTTTTTATTTTCTCAAAATTTCAAGTAAAGATGAATGGTGTATTTCTCTAAATGTTGACTTTTCGTCTACCAGAGTTTCTTACCTCTCTTACACGGAATCATCCTGGGGCACTTTAGCTATATTAATAGGATTCTGTCCTAGGGACATTTTGACTCAACTTTAGAGAGTAGTCTCGTAAATTACTCTCTTTTCTTTATTATCATAAAATAATTTTCTTTATATGCGAGTAGATAAACTATTTTCTTGTAATATAACTCATTTACAAAGAAATTCAGACAATTTTGTTAAATTCGGACTATCCTTTGCCAGAGGGCCGTTGCTCTTCTATAGGAAATAGTTGTAATTTTTTAACTTTATTTAAGCCAAGATCTTGTGGTCCTCAAATCCTAGGGCAACTGACTTCATCATTTATTTGACTGAGTTATATTTTGGAAAGTGTTTTTCATATCATTCGGCTATTGAGCTGAGTAGGGTTTAAAGTTTAGGCTATTTTATTTTTACTCGTGAAATTTTCTTATGAGTGCTATTGAAAAACTCATTCTTTATAACAAGTATTGTAATGTGTACTTATTATATACACATTGAAGAAGTTAACTGAAAGTATAACCACAATGAAATAAAACAAAAATAAGAAAGTGGGTTTTGAGAATTTTTTCTGTTATTAGAGGTTTTCTTGTTGCGTAGTTCTACTCCATCACAACTCTTCTCTTGGATAAATTGTTTCCCTAGATGTGTTTCTTGGAGAATCTGGGGATGGCTATTTTTCTAAATGAGTAGTCTCGTAAATTACTCTCTTCTTTATTATCATAAAATAATTTTCTTTATATGTGAGTAGATCAACTATTTTCTTGTAATATAACTCATTTAAAAAGAAATTCAGGCAATTTTTTTTAAATTCGGACTATCCTTCGCCAAAGGGCCGTTGCTTTTCTATAGAAAATATTCATAATTTTTTAACTTTATTTAGGCCAAGATCTTGTGGTCCTCAAACCCTAGGGCAACTGACTTCATCATTTATTTGACTGAGTTATATTTTGGAAAGTGTTTTTCATATCATTCGACTATTGAGCTGAGTAGGGTTTAAAGTTTAGGCTATTTTCTTTTTACTCGTAAAATTTTCTTATGAGGGCTAAGTTCTCTGAGCGCTATTGAAAAACTCATTCTTTATAACAAGTATTTTATTGCGTTACTTATTATATACACATTGAAGAAGTTAACTGCAAGCATAACCACAATGAAATAAAACGAAAACAAGAAAGTGGGTATTGAGAATTTTTTTTGTTATTAGAGTTTTTCTTGTTGCTTAGTTCTATTCCATCACAACTCTTCTCCTCTTGGATAAATTGTTTCCCTGGATGTGTTTCTTCGAGAATATGGGGAGGGCTATTTTTCTGGATGAATGCAGGTTTAGCTGAATGTAGACGGCCGAATGTAGGTGGTTTAATGGACAAGTTCAACCATTGTGTTAGATGAGTTCTCTAGTGCATTGCATGTTGCTAGTTACTTTTCTATTACTTGATTCTACTTCTTGTATGTCTCTTCTTCTTGTTTGTGTCATGATCCACGCTCATTGCATTTATTTGTAGTGTTGAATCCCTTTTTGTTTGAGAATCATACCCAAGTAATAGAGCGTAATAAAGAAGAGAGAAAAATGTGAAAGAGAGAGAGGGGGGGTTCGTAACGGATTTTATTAACTCTTATAATAGCTGCCCTACGGGTAAGGAACTCCTCTTACATTAGCTTCCTTCTCTTATATAGGGGCAATTTCCCAACATAATATGTGTAAGCTATAATTAAATATAGGATTCTTAGAATTCTTGACTGCCTTGATTTGTCATTAACTGTCTCGAGTGTATGAAGTATATTATCTTTGTTATCTTTTATTCCGTTGATGCATCTTCCTCCTCTCTTAGCCTTCTGTTCTATACTCTTGGTTATCACATATATTGTCCAGTCGAATTGTTTGGCCATGGACGAGTTCTCTGGAAGAGCTGTCCTTGGAGAACATTCTTGTTAGAGTTCTTTTATTGGAAAAATGCATGTGGCCGAATGCAGGTTTCTCGTTCAGAGGATTTTGATCATACATCTATGTTTTTCTATCTTAATATATGGATGAATTTCTTGGTGGATTTTTCTAGCCTGAATATTCTCCAAAGTAAACTTAATTATTATAATTTTGTGTTATCTTATTCACTCCAATATCTTTGTATAATTTGTAAGTTTAATTTCTCTAGTGTCACTACAAAATCGTCTTCTGTATTCTCTTAGTCTTTAAAGTTTCATTGAAGAATTTACAAACTAAAACGCTCTAATTCTCTAAGAATTGATGTTTTTGGCTGTGCAAATCTTAAAAATAAGTTCAGATACATTTATGAATAAATATATTTGAAAGAGAAATGATATTGATGCCTCATTTTATTTAGATGGTCCAATCATATACCAAGTAAAATGTGAGGCGGCTCACATTAATTGGGTCACCTATATAAATTAAATTAATTTTTTGTGTAGATTTTTGTAGGAAGAGTAGCAGTACTCTAATCTATTTCATGCCATTAAAGAATGGATGAAAAATATCATGGCCTTGAACTTATCGTAATATTTTTATGAGAAATTTACTTGCTAAACAATTCTTGTGTGTTTACATATCTGACAACTAAAGTTTGATATTTACATTCATAACACTTTGGTCGTGAAAGTTTTGCATGAAAATGTGCATTTCACTTTTAAGAAGTTATTGATTGTCGTATCTTCAATATGATGTTAATAATTTGAATGTTATGTGCCTAAATATGAAAGTTAAGGTGTTATGTATAAACTTTTTTTTTTGGGGGGGTTTCTTCAGTTACGGAATTGTGGCAATAGCTCCATTTTCACATCGCCTTGCCTTTGACAACATGGCTGGTGAGCTTCAGAGGCTGCGTTGCAAAGTCAACTTTCAGGCGTTGACCTTTGTTCCTCGTATCAACGGATTGGGCGAGACGCTTGTTAAACGCCTCAGGTCTCCGAGACATGTACACTCTAATGAATTTATACAGGAAGTTGTTGATGAAAATGATGATGGCGATGGGACTGGAAAGTATGTGACACTGCATTTGAGGTTTGACAAGGTAATTGCACTTTCAGATTTTGTTCTTGTTCAGTTTAGTCCCTCAAAATAATTAAATTTGATTCTAGGTCTATTTGGAGTTGTTTCAGATAATTTTTTATGTTCAAATTGGCCCCTCAAATCAATAAATTTGAATCAATTTGTTTCTGTCATAAACTTTGCCATTTGCAGGACATGGCAGCTCACTCAGCCTGCGACTTCGGTGGTGGCAAAGCCGAAAGGTTGGCTTTAGCTAAGTACAGACAGGTGATTTGGCAAGGAAGGGTTATGAACTCCCAATTCACAGATGAAGAACTTCGTAACCAGGGTCGCTGCCCGATGACGCCTGAGGAAATTGGCTTACTTTTAGCCGCTCTGGGCTTCAACAACAAAACTCGCCTTTATCTCGCGTCCCATAAGGTTTTATCTGCTCCTAATTTCCCACATGAAGGATTTTTTCTGCTCCAAAATCCAATTTCAAACGTCATTATTTATAGGTTTACGGCGGGGAGGCCCGAATCTCGAGCTTGCGGAAGCTTTTTCCCTTGATGGAAAATAAGAAGAGCCTTCTTTCTTCCGAGGAACTTGCAGGGGTTGAAGGCAAAGCTTCTCTTCTTGCGGCTGTCGATTACTATGTCAGCATGCGCAGCGATATCTTCATTTCAGCTTCCCCTGGAAATATGCACAATGCCGTGGTAAAATTCGCTTCGGGATACGTTCATCCGTACCTGCTAAATTCTTATGTATTTTCATATTTAATGTCAAAATTTTTATATTTACTAATGTAGAGTCCTAATTCCTGTATGCATCTATAATATTAGTATCAACATATGCCTTTAAGGGTATTAGGGTTAGACACTAGAGTGTTATACAAGTATGATGATTTTGATTTTAGCTATATAAATACCTCATAATTCACTAGTAGCTATGTAAATCCTCATCTTTTTTCATACTAGTTTTACCCGCACAAGGAAAATAAAAACATTCTATGATTTTAAAGAAAGAAAAGTGCAAAAAATGGCTTCCTAATTCTTTTACTAGTCCCAACATTAAGAGAGTTTGGAGATTAAATTGACACTTTTATAGACCTTAGTACAGGGTTAAAATAGTCCCAACATTAAGAGAGTCTGGAGATTAAATTGACACTTTTATAGACCTTAGTACTGAAATAACCCAATATGAATAATCAGGCGATTATTTTGACACTTCACTCGATTCTAAAAGATCTGAATGACTTGAACTTGTGCTGCTAGAAGATATGTAGCAAGACATGGAGTTTCAAGGATTTGCACACGGTCATACGTACCACACAATTCTTATATATTTACATATCAAATATTTAAATCTTTATATTCGCTTGTATAACACCATAATCTCTAAATAGCATCAAGAATACAGTCATATATACATGTTAATCCCTCCCTACTATATAATTTGAACCTTGTTCCCTTAAGCTCATAGTTGACACATTATAATCATGGCTATCACATAAAATACTTGAAAATGCTTTTAGGTTGGCCACCGGACCTATGAGAACTTGAAGACAATAAGGCCAAACATGGCTCTATTAGGGCAGCTTTTCCTGAACAGGAGCTTGGAGTGGTCTGAGTTCCAGAGGGAGGTGCAAGCAGGGCACAGAGGAAGAGAAGGCCAGATTCGTCTCAGGAAGCCTAAGCAGTCCATTTACACCTATCCTGCTTCAGATTGCATGTGCCACGCCTAGCTGACATTTATATATCATAACATTTATATGTGGGTGTATTTTGTTGTATTTTTCATTGGATAGTAGAGTTCATTCTTGCTTATTAATTGATAGCTTTCTGAGCATGTTTCTGTTTGTCTATAATCTTATTTGTCGACCTTTTCTTTCAGTAGCAGTTAGCTGTATACCTTTAGAAGATTTTCCCGTTGAGAATATGCTTTTCACTATCAAATTTACATGGTACAATAGTTGTAAATGCAATTTTGTTGATTTTTTTTGGATAGAAAAACTATAATCCATGTAATAATTTGCAATAACTCTATTTTTGTCTACAATTTTACAGTTATTTCTCCAATAGCTAGCAATCACTCATATGAAATAGTATTCTCATGGATGGGAGATTTTTGGAAAAGTTAGTGAGTAGAATAGCTCCAACTAGCTATCCATTTATTGAGGGCTAAGGCCCAATTCCAGTTGTTAAAAACTCGAAGGATACAAGTCCAAAGTAGGAAATAAGAGGCCTAGATAAAGTATTTTGTCAGAAAATTCAAAACATATTGACATTCAAAGAGTAAGTAATTTGTTTACTTATATAGAATATGTAAGATTCATAGCCCTGTTGAATTTAATATTAAAAGCAAAACACACATTCACTGTGTTTTAACGATTCAATACTCATAAACAACTCAAGAAAAAAGTATCTCAAAGGATAAAAAGCATTAAATTTTTTTTAAAAGATGGATTGGAGTCTCCATTCCAAGCACTATAGTCATTGCCCTTAGATGAAAGGGGAATAACAACAACAATGTTAATGAAGTAAGTGTTCTGAGAGCTACTAAGGGTGCGTTAGGGACAGTTTATTAGTTGCGGCAGCATTTTGAAAACTCTGTCTCACCGTTTGGATCCCGTGTTAGAAGAGTTTATACGAAAATGAAGTTTTTTATTTTACCTTAAACGCGGGCCACGAGTTGAAACCCATGGTTCACATTTTGCGAAAAATTTTGATGAGGTTGCCCTCATTCCCGTCCAGGAGAAGAGACGCGGAGGAGAAGAGAAGAAGATCTCAGGGTCGAGCCTTTCTTTGCAAGCAGACACGAGAGTTTTCGCACGCAAAGCTCTCGTGAGCGCTTCCTTCCTTTCTAATCTCACGATCGGGCTTCCATAGGCTGGTCGACCCCTCCGGCCCAGACACACGACATGGACTCTCCTTCCTCTTCTGTGGCTACTTGCTGTGGCGGGTGGTCTGTGCTGACATCGGGTTACCCATTGGCTTGGAGAGGAGCGTGTCGAAGGAGGATAGGGGAATTGAGGGCGGTAGCCTTCTGGATCTCGAAGCCTTCATCAATGGAAATGGAGGGGATCTTTGGAATGGAAGAGATGGATGAGGTCCTCTACTACTCGAAGGAGCTCTCACACCCGGTTATCATTGACTGATTAGTTCTTATACTATTGTTCGAGACATGTTTATGCCCTAGTAATCAGAATCACGATATCCATAGTTTATTAACATGCAATACTGTATTGACAGTCACGAGCAATCGTTGTTAATTGCTTCAGTACTGTTTTTACCTACCTATAAGAAACATAAAGAAAATAAAATCAATAACCATTTGATTGTGATTACTTTATTAGATACTTAATAAAGAATTTAATTATGGTATTCTTCAAATCTTTTATAAACTTTAGTGGCATCATTTGCTCAAATTAAAACTAAAAAAAGAGATTTAGATTTTAATTTAGGCTTAAAGTCGGATATGATCTCATACTCAAATTTAATATAAGAATTGATTGTTTATCTCATGATTCGTTTCGAAGTCCTTGCAAGTGGATCTAAATTTTGTCCTCGAGTGTTGTGACATGCAAGTGTGTTGCTTATCAATTAAAATCATCACTGCATCGACCAAATTAACCACCATCTTTTATCCTTTTTTCAAATTCTCACTCAAATATCAAAATCCATGGTAAAACCAGAATCCCTATATAAGTATGACAATTATGTTGCAAACAACACTATTGCACTGGCGCAAAAGGTCATTTATCCAAAAATAACTGCAAATCAGTTGTTTTCCAAATGCACAAACCAAACAGTCAGTCAACTTATCTGGATTAGCTGCTGATAAACAGCTTATCAGAATAAGCCGCTTATCTGGATAAGATGGATAAGTTGCAGCTACCCTAAACAAAACCTAAGTCTCAACTAAAGTTATTAATGATGACAGAAAGAAGAAAAGGGAAATGGAAAGGAGGAGAGAGTTATAGATTTAAAATGCTTTTTTAAAATTTTACTATAGTTCTAAAGATCCCAATATAATTCAAAGTCGCAATCATTAATGTTGAATCATTTTAGTACGTTGGATCTCATATCATTTGTGTGATCATACAACCTAGATGAGATTTGTAAACAATCATGTAGTGGAAGAGGATATATGTATGTTTTAAGAGTTCTCTCTCTATCCTTAGAAGGGAAGCAAAAGGGAGTGAGGAGAGATTGGTTGAGGGGATCTCCCTTAGAAGGTTTCTCCCTTCTCTTTCAGGTTGCAAAGAGTGAATATTAAATAAACTTGTTGTCGTACAAGGTCTAAGCATAAAATGCCAATGAAGGATGATAATGTCACAAATTGTATGACAACCCGTAAAAGTAAGTAGATTTGTATTCATTTTTTAATAATGATCGAGGTCTATGTTAGGTGGCACTCGACAAGTGAGGTTGGTGAGTCATCTCAGCAGATCAATCTCAACAGGAACCTCGGCAATTGATAAGTGACAGCTAACAAACACGTTTTGAAAATATGGGCTTTCGCTGGCCTATGAGGCCTGTTAAACAATGCAGTGACCCATATAAGCCTTTTATTAGTATCTAATTCTGAATAACAAAAAAAATATTTTAGAATATAAGCAACCTCATTTAACATTTTCTAGACATAAAAATTTTACTTGAGTGAGGTTTCCAAATAAAGCAAAACTTATTCTCAACCCGGTGGATAAAGGATTTAAGGTATTTAGAAATGTCTAAAAGAGAGAACATCTATAAGTATAAGTAAACACAATAATAGAAGAGACACAGTTCTTCATCAATCTTAGGTTTATAACTCACATCCCATGAAATAAGGTGAACCATTTTAGCCTTAGTATTGCCATGATAAAAACAAATTGAAATAATATTTGCTTAAGAACTTTAAATAAACTTCAGAAATATTAGGAGATATTGTGCAATAAAGAATATAATTTCATGAAAATAATTTGATCAATTGTTATACGCTACCAAAGATAGGAATTTGACTTTCTAGCCATCTAACAATCAAAGACTCTTATTTTGAAGAGGTTGAAGTTCACTTAGACATACAAGAAAATATTATATTCATTGTCCTTATATGCGGAAGATGATGTGGATTGCATCACGTCGTGCATCCAGAGTCGCGATGCAATTCACACCATGATTCACTTATAGTTCACATATCCAATTCACCAACATAATATTCTTTCCAGCCTTACATATTTGATGTAGTTCCCACGTAGAGAAGTTGGGATCCGACACATTTAAATTGAGTTGCATACTAAGAGCTGAGGGGTTGGGAGAACAATACACTCAAATGTATAATTAAATGGCACCACTTCTAAGCCTCCCAACTCCATTCCATTCAAAAGCTTTCAAAAAATGTCGGCCAAACAAGAAAATCACTTGCGCCAGCCACGCCTCATTAAAAGCTTTCAGTAATGTCGGTCAAAAGCTGCAAAATGGGGCGCAGCCATGGTCAAATCATCCCACCACCCTCGGGAGCTCTGCCCTAATCACTCACCTTCTGTTCGTTAGGAACAGTTACCACAGCACACATCGCACTGTGCTGTTCCAGTGTGCACTACTCGTAATAAAGAAAGAGCATGGCCTCTCTTCACCTACTTCAACCTTTGCTGTAAATTATCCAACTACCCAGCAGACCGCCGCTCTGCAAATTTAACCCATTTATTGTAAGCTTTTCTTCAATTATATCTCGTTTAGTGATCTTCAGAATTTGTTTTAGCTCAGATTCCAATTCAATGGCAGGAATTACTTATAAAATGAAATTCGGCAGAAAGAACCTATTTTGTGCAAGGCCTGTAAAAAGTTTTTTATGGCGAGCACAGCCTAACATTTTAAAAATTTTCGGATTATTTTCAACCAATGAGCATCTTATATGCAGGATTGCCAAATAAAAAATTATATATATTATTTATATAATAATAATGATGATAATATGTGTGTTTGGAATTTTTTTATGGATGCAAATGGTGCAAATTCTAATTTAACATCCGCACACGAATAAGAGTATGTAAATCAAAACAGTATACAGTCACACCATGAGTAGCTTCGAAGGATCTAATTTCAAATATATCACACCATGAGTAGCTTCGACCATGAGTAGCTTCGAAGGATCTAATTTCAAATATAATTGATCCAAACGAGTCGAAGCTCACTCAAGCTTGGGCTTGTTAGAATAGGTATATTTTTTTTCTTTAATTAAGAGACCCACCACACTAATTTTCACAGCCTCCAAAATAATAAAAAAGGAAAAAGAACTTTTTTTATTCCGCGAATTCAAATACAAAAACCTTTCAAGAAAAATACAAAAACCTTATGTAGGATGGTCAAAAAAGACATTTTTAGGTCAAATTTTGCTTTCACAATCCCATTTATTTAATAAGCCAAATAAAAAATCAATCTTGCAAAGCCAAATAAAAAATCGATCTTGCAATCATGTTTGGCTTTGTTTATATTTACATCATATCCATAATCATATTCAATCAAAGCAAACCCACACAAATCTAACAAAAAGGAAAAACCACAGCAGCATCAACCAAATCAGAATCCGAATTCCAGTACTTAAATTAAAATTCAATTACAGGCTTAATCATACTCAGCAAGTTGCTGAAAGTGATACAATAATCACTAAAAAAACTCCCACGAGGCTTCCACAAATCCACAGTAAAGATACCACAACAATCCAAAGGAGAGATTAGCGGGTGCTGAAGATAAATCAGTCCACCTCTGCTCCCTCTCCTCCTCCCACACAACTTCAATTCCCATCTACACTTCAAAGAGCCATCTTAAAACAAGCCCCCCTTCCCTTCTCACAATACCATCTACATAAAACACACTAATTGCAAAACATATAGAGAAACAGTCAGATAAGAGCAGCTAGCTTCAATGGAACTGAGCGCCAGAGAAAGTCTGGCCAAAGGACCAGTTTGGTGGTGCAGCGTTGGAAGAGATTACAGTGCGCCCATCGCTGGTGGTGACTTTGAAGGAGAGTGATTGGCCATCAAGAAAGGAATTGCTCTGCCAGTTCTGTCCCCAGTTTCTGGACATGGGCTGCCAATCAGTTCTTGAACCCTTTACGGACACCGCGTGAACATCGCCGGCTCCGCCGACGTTGGTGATTAGGACCAGGTTGAAGTAGGAGTGCCCGTTAATGGTGAATCTAATGCCTCCTCTTCTCCTACAAGGAACTCTGCGAAAGAAAAATACCTTTTCATTCTTATGTCAAAAAAAAATTGAGGTTTAGGATTTAGATATGTAAATAAAGAGGAATTTAGGGATATATATGTAAATCTTCCAAATAATGTTTTTAAATCTTTCAGAAATTATTTCACTGTTCTGTTCAAAATTTAAAATTTGAGGAAAGAAGACAAAATTCGTAAAGTAGAGTAGTTTTTTCATATCCATACAAAAAAATTATCATAATTGGAAATATTTTAAAATATTCGACAAAGCCCCACTTAAAGGAATAGTTTTTTTAGGGGCTTGGATCTCAAAGTTTCTTTTTTTTTAGAGAACCATAGTTAAATTTTCTGAAGCAAGTCTTAAAATAGCAGTTCTAATCATTGCCTTAATCTTTTTAATCCGTTTAACAGAACTTAAAAAGGTCTTTACAAAATATAAAACAGAGGAAAAAACAGAGACAAAACAAAGCCAAAACAGGGGCTCACCTTCTGTAAGAAACAGGCACAATTCCAGCCTTGTAAAAAGCAATACGTTGGAAAACAGGCTGAGAGAGATCGAAATGCTGGAGCGGAGGATTGCACCAGCCTCCGGCATCGTTAGGAAGAGCATTGTTTGGCGGACAGAAGTTGGTCGCAGTGACGACAATGGAGCTTGGAAGACACCATTGGTGCTCGTTAACGCACCTAATCTCATAACAAGAGCCACAGCTGAGGCCATTGTTGAAGAGAGCAGTGCTCAGAGCTGCGGTGTTAGTTCCGTATCCCTGACTGTAGAGATTCCCATAACCACAAGCACCGCCTAAATAAAAGGGAAGGAAAAAAACACAGTTTTAGGAGTTGCAGAAGGAAAAAGATTAGAAGTTGAAGAGAAGAAGAAAGAGTACCGTACCCATTGTGCCTGATGCATCACTCCCTCCATAGAAGGTGGCATGAGCATCGCTCCAGCCTTCTCCTACCCCATACGCAAGTGAAGGAGACAGCAAAGGTAGAAGAACAGCAAAGAGAAATGAGAGAGAAGTTATCTCCATGCTGAAGAAAATGTGGGGATGAAGAGAGAACGGTTGTGGCGGAGAAGGGGAAGAGAAATGGGGATTAAATAGAGGTTTGGACAGAAATAAGGACTCAGGAATGGACAATTCGATGAAAGCTGTAAGCTTTGGGTGAAAAGGGAGCTCCTTTGTGGCTATTCTGGCGGTTTTGATATTTGAAAGATCACAGTTTTGTTGGCATCCTCGGTAAAAGGAGAACGCAAGGTGAGATGTCGACAGAGAAAAAGAAGATGCCGGAGAGATAAATACCCTTGAATTTGAACTCTTGGAGCGGTTAATACTTCAAGACATTTCACTTCGGGAAAAAAAAAAAATCAATTACTGTTAGGTTGATACCAACTAATTTCTACATTTACATATCTAACTGATGTACTTTTCCTTTTTTACATTTAATTCATCTAAATCTTTTATATCATTAATTTATATTTTTAAAAAGAATAAAATACAACTGTCATGTGTGTAAAATGACATATATATATATATATATAAATAATATTTTAAATATTTGATAAGTAAATAGAAAAGTTTTTCATTGTATGCATTAAATTCTTAAAATGCAATTTAGATTTTTAAAATAAATCAGTTTTTGGTGGCATTTATTTAATTTGATTTTTGTAGCGATTCAGTGGGAGGCTGATATACTTCTTAGTGGCATCTTTAGATGGAACGGTATGCATTAAATTCTTGAAACTTAATGCAATTTGGATTTTTAAAATAAATCATTTTTTGGTGGCATTTATTTAATTTGATTTTTATAGCGATTCAGTGGGAGGCTGATATACTTCTTAGTGGCATCTTTAGATGGAACTCTTAATATGTTGGGAGAACAATGATTGATGCAACAACTTATGTTACAATGGGCTCAACCGGTTGCTTACTTACCTTCTTTGGTTTGTTTAGATTTTGCTTGCAATTTTGGTTATCTACACTTGGTCTTTGAAACAGATTTCTTAATCTTTGCCTTAACCATACTTCATGGATGGGGCCTTATTATGCTGATAATTCCGAGCTCTCCTTATTTAACTTTCTGCCTTCTGCTTCTATTTTAGTATCCCAATTTTTTCTTCTAAGCATGGTTGTAAATGTATTAATTGTGCTTCAATTTTGCCACTCTTCGAACATGAGTGCGGTATGCTCATCTTCTCTTATGGAAGTCTGCAGTGGCATTAACATGAGATCTTTCCAAACATAATCATTTACTAATCTTTTGAGGTTGAGAAGCTTTATTGCAAGATTTAAGCTTATTTTTACTGTCTCTCTTTAGATGACTTGTCTGCTGGAAATTCTTGTTGGGAAACTCATGGTTGAAATGCTGGCCTCACTACACCCTTAAAAAAATAGAAGTTCTTTGGTTGGTGCGGAAATTTAGACACGTTTCTATGTCCAGCTCCCATCACTTGTTCAACTGCGTTGAATAGTTTAAGATAACGGTTTAAGGCTTTAATTAATAGCTTCATTTAATGCAGTGCAACTAACAATTTGTCTCGCCAATCGGTTGCTTCATTTAATATAGTGTTGCAACAACTTTTTTCACAGTGATTTTAATTTATAAATTATGAGCTGTGATTGTTGATTGAAGGAGGCTATTATATTCTGAACATAACAAACTCAAGCTACATATCTTATATCTTATGGTAGTTTATGGCTTAACATCTAAAAGAAAATTACAAATTTTATGTATAAAGTGCAGTTACAAAATGAAGCTAAAAATAGGGGCATTCACATGCATACCACCCAATTCTTATATTTCTTATATATTTACATATCTAATACATAAAATTTATTTTTTATGCTTTGAAGTTTGTGTTAGATATGTGAGAACATTAGAATTAAGTGTTATGTATGTATATATTCGTTATAAATAATAAGAACAAAGTTTAGCTTATCATTGGGATTACTCTTCTGATGGGAGAAAACAAAACTCTTGAAAGTATTCCCTTCCCAAAATTTATCGGGGCTTAGACTCAAAAATTTAATCCACATCAACATGGAATAAGATTGCGTAAATTCAAGAAAATTGGAACAAATTTATGAACAAAAACACAACAAAGCAAACCAAGAAAACACATGGGAATTTAATGTGGGAAAGCCCAAGAATAAGAAGAAACTTTAAAGTCACACCACCAAAAAATTTCACCATGAAACTAGGAGAGTTTACGGAGAACACACTCAAATTTTCTCTCTCCAATCTCAAGGAAACTTACAAAACCTCGTTCCAAACTCTTTTTGCTTTGATCTGACGCAAAAATGGATGTTTAGATCACAGAAAACCTCATCTACGACGCTTCTCTCATTCACCAGAAACTCGTCAAATAACTCGCATAGGAAGCCAACACTTTGCACCACTTGAAATTGGCCCTTAAAACCAAAGTCGTGTGAAAATTGCTTCGGACGCGTAGACGAGTGGACTTGGAGCTTAAGTGCTAAGACATCTGGATTGAGCGTTTAAGTTGGGTGCTAAGGCACCCAATAGTTAGCGCATATGCGCCAACTTTATTGCACACCCTCATAAAGTAGGCGCATATATGACACTGGTCGACATATAGGCGTCAGGTTATCTATGAGCAGTGCCCAAGAAGGCTCTTGAGGGCACATAACCGGACGCATATGCACCTGACACTCGGCCTCCTACAGGTTCTTTGGCTCTACAAACCATCATCTTCAAGGTTAGTTAGTAATAACTCTTTTAACTAATTCGCGATTGTGTTGGGTCAATTAATTTCAAAACATAATATACCTGGGGCTTTAATAACCTGTGATGATAGATCCATAAAATCTTAACTAGGTTGTATCTATATGTCTAGGAACTCTTCACCTACATTTTTACATCCCCTCTGGGCCTACTCCTCTAGGGTATTTATTGGTCACCTATTTTGCTTTCTATTTAGGGTGTGTTTGGGAGAGCTTATTGCTCGTGTAGCGTTTTGAAAACGCAGAAGAGGCTGTTTGTAAAATGCGCATGCACTATGTTTTTAAATAATCCGTCGAAAATTTTTACTAAAGCAGAATGCGAGATCCCTCATGCGGCCCGCGTTCGTTGAAGGAAAGATACCTCCCGTGCCCTTATCCTGCGTCCTCCTCCCATTCTTTTTCGATCGCTACTGTCTCCCTCTCCAAAGTCTCTCTCGATCTTTGCCTTTCTCCTCCTCCTCCTCTATACCCTGTCTGATCTTCTGTTGTGATGTTGTGTAAGTAGTTGTTACGCTTGATTCTGGTGCAATGGATTTTTTGTGAGTTTTTTTTTTTTGTTTCTCGTTTCCATTTGGATTTAAGAAGCTTGTGATGGTTGCGTCTGTGGTGATTTGTAATTTGCATTGGGTGGTGCTTATGGTGGCTTGGGTGTGCTTGTGGGTGGAGTGAGTGGTGTTTATGGTGGCTGTGAGTGGTGTTTATGGTGGCTTGGGTGTGCTCTGCTGGCTTTCAGTGTGTGGGTTGGTAGTGGACATAAGTTGTGCTTGAGTGTGATGGCTATGAGAGTAGTTTATGGTGGCTTGAGTGTGCTCTGTAGGCATTGGTTGTGTGGGTTGGTGGTGGATATGAGGTGTGCTTGTGTGTGGTGGCTGTGAGTGATGTTTATGGTGGTTTGGGTGCGTGTATTAGTGATGGATGTGAACTGTGCTTGTGTGTGGTGGCTGTGAGTGGCGTTCATGTAAATGTGCGGCCTTCCTCCAAGGTCTTTGATTTTTTGTTTTTGTTTATTTATTTGTCATTTTGTATGGTACTTAATTTGAATTTTTTTTCATTCTCATTCTACAAGGGTCTAACATGTTGAGTTTTTTTTATGTTAAATTTTTTTGTTTAACTATCAATTCTTCAATTAGTTCCAACACGGCTAAATTGAAATAAGAGGGTCTGTCAGTAATGTGAGATAAAAAAGTAACAAACATTTTCTCGCGATCTTTGCATTAAAGAGATTGAGGTTAGAAATAGACCTACCACATACTTTAATAAGAAAGGTTGGCAAAATATTTCGAAGAGGTTCAAAGAATTGACTGGAAGGAAGTTTGATAGGCTAAAATTCAAGAACAAGTGAGATTAATTGAAGAAGGATCAAAAGTTATGGAAGGAGCTGAAACGAGAATCCATTGGGTTGGGTTGAGATCCCATTAAACGTATCAATGATGCTTTAGAGGAATGATTAATTGAGAAGTTAGAGGTAATAATGGTGGGCTGACATGTATTTTTGCTCATTATCATTTTTGGAAGAAGTTAGTATGTATTTTTGCTCATTATCAACTGTCGTATTGTATTAACAGATTCATTGGCTGGTGTGGTGAGTTCTTTGAGTCCTCAAGCTTGCTATTTCTTTTAATCAGACTTTCATTTCTTTATGCAATATTCTTTCTTATTTTTAATTTCTACGATTTTTTTTCATCTAATTTTTTGACTGATGCCTTATATTTTGAATTATATTAGGAAGACGAGCTCCAGGTTTTCAGAAAGTTCGGGTGAATGCTATGCCGCTGCTGACTGTCGTCATTGTTACTCACATCACGCAGACCACATAGCTATGGGCGGCAGTTCTACAGGTGCATGCGGTAGGTAGATTGTCCTGATAAGTGTGAGTTCTTCAGGTGGGCAGACAGTCGAACCGATTCTACTACTGATAGTGATCGGGGTTCAACAGTATCTCAACTAGACAACTTTGCTCGCGACACGCTTCTTCTGCATTTTAAAATGAATATTACTATACTTTTAATTGTAATTTTCATATGTTTTTTTATTAAATTTCTTGATACTCACTCATAAGTGATGTGTATATCCTTTTTTTTGTATTGTTATAAAGTTTTTTTTTTGTTTCTAAACAATCAAATGTATAACATTACAATTTTGTTGTAAAGAGCACAACTGCACAGTGACAGAATGGTCATTTATCCATAAATAACTACAAATAAACTGTTTTCCATACGAACAAATCAAACAGCTAGCTAGCTTATCCAGATTATAGGCAGAATGGTCATTTATTCAGAAATAGTTGTAAATTAGTTGTTTTCCAAATGCACAAATCAAACAGCCAGCCAGCTTATCCGGATCAGCTGTTGATCAGCAGCTTATCAAGATAAACTGTTTATCTGGATAAATTGGATAAGCTGCAGCTACCCCGAACATACCCTTAAACATGTTGGGTATCAACGCTTACAGATCCACTACTTTCTCATCTCTCCCAAATCTCATCCATTTCTCTTTTCCGCATTCTCCGCTCCCAAACTTTTTC